AGCCATTAAAGCAAAAATTAGCGATACTATATAAAACATCCATACATGGGTGTTTTGAAACAGATCCCGCCTGGTCTATAATGACCTCTAGCAGATAATCAAAAACTGACACCAATGATGTATAACTTACCTGTACGAACTTTCAAACAAAACATTTAACACAATTGTACATTTGCATTTTCAAGGTGTCTTGACACATGAATTCTTAATCTCTCTTTATGTTTGATTATTTGGATGTTTTAACATTTACATATTGACGAGGGGTACCAGGGCATTTATCAACAGTATCAAAGTCACCCGTGTCACATTCCTGCATTCGTGTTGTGGGACGGTTTACGTGTATTAATCGATGGGTTTTCAAATTCTTCTTATATTTAGTTTCAGGATCACATACATCACACTTGTACATAATCTTTTTTTCTCAAATTTTCATTATAACATAAACGAATTCTTAGATTTTTTTCATGTTTGGGGGATAATGGCTATTAATTAAGGGGCATAAAACAAGCTATAAGAATGTTCAAAAACTTGCACAGTGGTGGAGTGGAGGGGGTGCTCAACCGCTTTCTTAAACATAACTTCTACGCCAATGACTATTTTTTGAAACAACTGTTATTTTCATTATCTACATACAGTTTAACAAAAATGTTCTTCTTCGGTTTCGAAATTCCTGTGCGTTTACAAGTTATTTTGATTTTTAATGTTTGATGTGGTACTAAATTAAGTAATTTATTTATTATCAATTATCGGCTAAATATTTAATTCTTTCAAGGAAACCAACCTAAATATGATTTGTTAAGGATTCTAAAAAGCCAAAATCTCTTATTCTTTATCTCTTTCCAATGTAGTCAAAATAAGTATCGTTCTTCTGATAACACTTGAATATTCATCCATTTTTTTACAAACACTAATATTTCAAATCTTAAAAATAAAATAACCATTCCTGATGACAGATAAGTCTATTATTGCTTAGTTGTTTTTTCATGGCAATCGTTAGTGCAGATAGTGTATTGGACGCACAGCGCAGATTTAAAATTAATATGTAGGTGTAATTTTTTAAAGGAATTATATCTGTTTGAAACAAACGGACCGCTGAATGAACAAGGATACTTATAATTGCTTCAGAATGGCATAAATGAAATTTTAGGGGAGGTGCCATTGAATATGCTGTCCACTGCACTGTAACGCAACAAAAAAATGAGCTCAGAGGGGGAATTCACCACATTATGAATGCAATAAATAATACACAAGAGATTATATTTAGAATCTACCAGTCGTTTCGACGATGTAAAGACATATTATTTAATATTGTTTCCAATTCTAAATTAATGTGTATAATATTAATTTTAAATTTATTTCCTATACTTTAGAAACTTAATTTCTTATCAGAAGAACGGTCTCTCATTCAACTGAGATTTTCGGTAAAACTATAAACTATACCGATTTTCAATAAGTATACCTTTTTTATGTTAAATTGTCCTGAGAATCTAAAAATGAATCCCAAATGATTATTAAGTCATTGGCATAGAAGTTGGGTTAAAGAAATTCCGCTTTACTACCCATTCCTACGCCACTGACCTACAAAAATTTGTAAATTTTACAGTAAATTATGCACTTGTAAATGTTAACACCACACCCAATGTGAATCAATTTGCTATAAGCATACCAAAGATTTCGTAAATAATATGAATTTAACAACCAACCAATACAGCCCTATACAGGGTGTTTCTAAAATAGGGTTCCAAACTTCTGCTGCGTTTATAACTCATTAAAATAAGCCAAAAAGTTCCTATTAACATGTGCCCTAAAACGCACCCTTAGGAAGTTATGCCCTTAAAAGGGCTCAAACAAAACTGTTTTTTTTTTCAAATAAATTGCGGTTATGAAGGATCCGATCATTTAATAAATAATTTAGGACATAAACTAAAACTATTTAAAATTAGAGTTACACTTACTAATTAAAGAACTAATTACTACTGCAGACAATAGCTAATATAATATTAATATTAAAGAGCAGAGTAATTTTCAAACTCAATTTACTCGAAAACCATTGGAAATATCGATTTTGGACAAAGATAATATTTTTTACGTAAAATTTTAAGATTTTATAAATCTGTAGAGAAAATTGTAAAAAATTTAAATGAAAAAAATTAAGGGCCGTAAACCGCTTTCACCAACCTAAATGGGACGCATATGATTTGCATGTCGAAAAACGGAGTAGCCCATGTTATTTAAAAGTTATGTCAGACCCATAAATTTTTTTCTATTTATTTGCTACCGTTTTGTCAATAACAAAAAAAAAACAGTTTTATTTGAGCCCTTTTAAGGGCATATAGCTTCCTAAGGGTGCGTTTTAGGGCACTTATTAATAGGAACTTTTTGGCTTATTTTAATGAGTTATAAACGCTGCAGAAGTTTGCAACCCTATTTTAGAAACACCCTGTATATATGCAGTGTGATTCATTAACAATGGGAAAGTCGAAAGCTGAAGATACTACACGTAAAATGGTGACCATTGGCCCAAACATGCATTATCCGAAAGTTGATAGTTTCGGAAATACAGGGTGTTGAAAGTTAAAATTTTAAATCGTTTTTTTGCGATTATTCTGAAAATATGTAGGTTAGGAACTTGAAAATTTATGAAACTATATTTTTTTAAGCGACGAATTGCTCATAGAGGGCGCCACTTGCGATCAATTTTACAGGAAAATTTAGTTAATAACTTTTTACCCTGTATGTCTAACATGAAACTTGATTCAAAACCTGAAAGAGCAATCATTTTTCCATTAATTATGTAGGTACTTTTGTTTCATTTCGGTATCTCGATCCGTTTTCGAAAAAAATAGATTTAACAAACACTATGTTTTGATAATACGAGAAATTAAAAGCGAAACAAACTAAGTGTTTCTTCATGTTTTTACAACAATTAAATATAAAACAAATTAAATACCACGTAATAACGATTTAAAGTAATTGTTTGAAGAATCCATCGTTGACTCTGATAAACTTTACTCAACGTTTTCTGAGAGATCTTTGAGTTTGAAACAACTTATTGCGATAGCGTCTGACTTTGTTGGCAGCAATTTGTATTCTTTGCACAACTCTTCATACGAACCAATAGATTCTTTGTAAACGATATCTTTCATTCGAGGCCAAAAAGAAAAATCAAGAGGATTGAAGTCCGGACTTCTGAGTGGTCAAGTAAAAATGCTTACATGACTAATCCAGCGATTTGAAAAAACTGCATCTAAATATGCAGGCATTGGCCGAGAAAAATACGGTGGACATCCGTCGTGCATGAACCACATCTCTTCTTAAACAAAGTAGAACTTCTTCAAGCCGTGGAAGCATTTTTGCTTGGCCACCCAGAAGTCTGGACTTCAATCCTCTTGATTTTTCTTTTTGGTCTCGAATGAAAGATATCGTTTACAAAGAATATATTAGTTTGTATGAAGAGTTGTGGCAAAGAATACAAATCGCTGCCAACGAAGTCAGACGCAATCCCAATAAGTTGTTTCAAACTCGAAGATATCTCAGAAAACGTTGTGTAAAGTGTATCAGTGTCAACGGTGGATTATTCGAACAATTACTTTAAATCGTTATTACGTGGTACTTCATTTGTTTTATTATTAATTGTTGTAAAAACATGAACAAACACTTAGTTTGTTTCGCTTTTAATTTCTCGTATTATCAAAACATAGTGTTCGTTAAATCTATTTTTCTCGAAAACGGATCGAGATACCGAAATGAAACAAGAGTACATAATTAATGGAAAATGATTGCTCTTTCAGGTTTTGAATCAAGTTTCATGTTAGACCTACTGGGCAAAAAGTTATTAACTAAATTTTTAGTAAAATTGGTCGCAAGTGGCGCCCTCTATGAGAAACGCTGAAATTGCAACACGCATCTTATTCGTCGCTTAAAAAAATATAGTTTCACAAATTTTCAAATTCCTAACCTACATATTTTCAGAATAATCGCAAAAAAACGATTTAAAATTTTAACTTTCAACACCCTGTATTTCCGAAACTATCAACTTTCGGATAAGGCATGTTTGCGCCAATGGCCACCATTTTACGTGTAGTATCTTCAGCTTTCAACTTTCCCACCCTGTTTATTAGTAATTATGATCTTACTGGATTCGGCAAAACTACTTCCGTAACTTCCCTTATGGCTTTTCCTATTATTTCGCAATTGTTATCGCTTATTATGTTAAGACACAACTTGCAAAATATCTCTTTAAGTTTTCTGATTGCATATTATTCTCTTTCAAATGTATAATACATAATCATTATATAACCTACAAAATAAAATTTAAAAAAATAAGCGACCAACAACCACATATTTGATGTTTATAACGTTCTTCTTCTTATTTTTTGGTCACCCAGGGGGTATTTAGCCAGCTTCTTATGTACTAGTTTTTTTATTCAAGGCAATGCACCATGAAGTGCATCTATTCTCACGAAAATTTCGAAAGCAACCAGCAATACACGCATTACTCTAGTAGTTAAAATACGATGTCTTTAAATCAAAGGCGATATGCTCTAAGGTATTATAAGTTTTGTGTGTGGCACTGTGACTAATTCAAACGCATATCGCAACGGCTGAGCGAGAATCTGCTCTGCTGTGGCCGGCACGCCTGTGTCGTTGGCGCTAGTAAATTGCAGTAAACGCTCCAAAAAATCGCCTCTTCTTTTGTCGCGGCGGAACAGTCAGCTCCAGTGACAACTGCGTAACAGCGCCAAAGTAGCAGACAGTGAAATAGCAACACATCTCTAATTCTTATTAGCCCTGTTCATTGTATCAGTATACATCAGTTACTCCAACTCAATCCTCAATCGGAATATTTTATCGGCGTCCGTTGAAGCCGAGCACAAAATCGATGTTGGTCGTTATGCAGGAGTTTTTCATTTTGATTAATAAGATCATTGCTCTTTTTACTCTGTCATTTGTGCTGGAGCAAAGGGAGTAGAGCAACTGGAGCAATCAGCTGATTTTATTTTTATTGGTTAATATATCTTACGTATGACGGTAAACATGGGGATTCACTGCCTATTTTACTTAAAGCACATGACAAAATGTTTATGACAGATTCACAATCTTCGTCTAAACATGTTGATACATTTTCCAATCTATTTTCTCCTTCTTCCACTAGTAACTACGCCAATAAACACAATAAGTTCATGGTGGATAACAAATTGGCTTTTTGTATACCTAAACAGAAGAAAAACTGCTAAAATACCCTAGACAAAGTAAACTTAAAACATACACGTATACATAAAAAAATTTTTTATAATAGGTTATCAAGTCGTCTTAACGAACACTGGCAAATTGCTCCAAGTTCCAAGGTCTGATTACTCTGCTTTGTGATCTTAAAGAATCTGGTGACGTCACTGCTCCGTACTCTTTATGATCCAAGATCTCTTGGAGCCGCAAGGAGTAGCATCTAACGAACGGGGCTATTATTTACTTAGTCTTGCTTAGTACTTTTAAGAATGTTTAGAGTTCATTATCAGAAAAGTAATAAACATGCAACAAATAATCTTGGAAGAAACATTTTGTACGCTATGTCTAAATACTATAAGGGATTCCAATTGCCAGATGATAGATGTTATAAAGGATGTTCTAAAAATTCTTTTGCCGGATTTGGTAAGATAAAGTTTTCAAGATTACATTTATATTTATTGTAGTTCATTTATAGTTCATTCCACAAGTTTATAAAAAATTTTTTATTAGAGCAATGTTTTTATAGTGGATGATTGTATTTGTTTTGTTACTGTGTAATATTAATTGCCCCCCTTTTAGTGTAGTAGTTGTGACAAAAAATGTACAGTTTTTATATATGACGGTGTCAATAAAGTTTCTATTCTGTTCTATTCTATAATAAACTACAAATCCGTTTCAGAACTTAGAAGAAACAGTGAAACATTTCATGTGTACAGTATGTTCGGGAAAATTGTTTGCTGCTTTTAATTTTAAGGCAAGATGTACGCACACCGAGGATATTATTTTTCCTTATATTAGTGCAAGTAGAACGTCAACGGTTGATTTAAAAGAAATTTATCTGAAAGAAAATGGAAATAATCAGATAATCAATATATTGGAAGATCACAGAATTTGTCGGTTATGTTTTCAGTTAGTTACAGACGAATTTGCGGCACTAAAAGAAGTAGATGGTGGCATAATCGATATGTATATACCACAAGTTGTAAGTAGTTATATTTTATTATATTTTTCTGTTTTGAAATCAATAATTTCAAATTTACACAATAACTGTTAACTTTGGGTATAGGGAGTATCATTATAAGTAAATTTAATTCTGCATCCATTAATGTAGTAATATACAGGGTGTACCATTTGAAATTTTTGAGTAAATTCAACTTCAACGTCACAATATTGGCCACACGTTTTTAAACACTCTGTATGAACTTTAGCAAAAATTAGCATAAACTGGTTGAATTCCATTTCTTTTAAAATATGCATGCCAAGTTTCATTAATAAATAATGCAAAATGTCGAAGTTATTCTATTTTCAAAAATGATTTACATTCCTCAGTTTTTTCGAAAATTAATATTAACTTGAAAATAGTAATGAATATACATAGTGTTCCATTTGAAATAACAGAGTTGATGATAACATCCGGTAAGTATAAGCGGAAATGCGAGGAAGTTGACACTATTTTCATTGAATAGATCATTTTGATAATCCCCTGTATTCAATACAAATGATCCCGCCGGAATCCTTGTGTAAATTGGTTTTCGGTCAAATGGTTTGAAACCAAGTGGTTTTTGTGTAGCTTTTGAGTGGTAGCATTTTTGCTCAATGCCCAATAACCCAATAAACTATCGCCGATATATCGAGATCTCTGACTGAAAGGGTTAAAAACGATATTGAGATGATCTTTCAGATCACGATCAGTACAATCGATTTTTCACAATCATTATCGTACAATAAAAATCATACCGATTGCCGTCTGCATTTATGTGACTTGATGTGCACCACAGGGAGGTTGCTATATCGGACTTAACACATCATGGGATTCATCGAAGCACTTGATATTATTTCAAAGCCGCTCATAGCCTAAAAACCAAAAATGCAGGCAATACGAGCGCATGTGCCTAAAGGCCAGTCACCAGATAAACATGTGCAATAATACCTTATTTCGTTTATTTGTATGCTCATCAACAAACTCTTTATCATTTTTCCTTGCGATTTTATCGTCATCTAGTTGTTTCTGGCTTAAAGTTCGGCAAGTCGCCGCAGCATGCATAAAATATTATGTTGATGTCAGTGGCTCGAAGCAAATACTGCGTTTTTGAAATAAAATGTTACTTTATGCATGAAAGTATTAATATATTTGAAAAGAATTAATAGATAGATTAACATTTTTTTACATTATTTCACCAAAATATACTTTTCAATCAATCAATCAATCGATTAATCAAAAGTATTAAATGAAGTTTCTCGTACTAATCCTATTTCAAGATTACATATTGGTGAGATAATTCTAGAAAAAAAATATTTTTAAACTAACTATTAATAGAGCATTTTATATTTTTTTCTGGGTATGTATCATAATGGCCTTATTGAATGACAGTTCAATACGTCAAAACAAATAAAAATAAATAATGTACGAAAATGTTCGGCATTGTTATTGTCATTAGAATACAAGTTATAGAGTATTGTAGATTGCAATGTCAAAAATAAAAATAATAGTTTTTCCCCATCCTAGTAGCATGCTTTAGTGTGCTTCAATTGTTCATATGTAGCATTTAAACGATGGTAAGTTTTCTCGAAATGTTAACATACGAGTAGTTCAATTCTGTTTTACAATTCTACCTTTTCCGTGTGCAAAATCTGAGAACAGCTTGAATTCCACTATTTATATTATTTATGTTAGCGAGTTATTTCTATGAAGTTATATTTGCAAAAAATACCTATAAGGTCATTATTAATATTTTTTATGCTTATTATTAGTTCATAATCTGTATTATCGTTAACAGTTCTTTTTGCTGATTTAATTATATACTTTTTCTATGCAACTTATGGGATAATAATATTAGTTTAAAAACTTGAAATATTCAATAAGACAGTGACACATTCCGTTCACTTCGCAGATTAATAAATCGCATTTCTTAGCGATTCTTGATTGTATCTGGTGATTTATATAATTAGCAAAAAAAGTACCCTTGTAATCATATTTATTTATTTACATAATAAAAAACATTACATAATAATGGCTGGTAGACCACCGCATATCCATTGTTATGTGTGCAATCGAGGATTTCAAGCCAGACAATGTTAGCGTTTTTAAATCAATTAAAAGAAGATTCTCACAATCAAACTAAATCTTTAGATACGTCTTTGAGCGAGGAAGAATTCAAGTGCATCTCGTCTATAATATAAAGAACTTTTGACATATTGTTATCCAGTAATGCAATATGGGAAATATCGGACCGGAATCAAAAACAATACAAGATTACATAGCTCAATATGTCACAGATTTCTCAAATACTTTATACAATCCTCAACCAAAAGAACCAAAGGCTATTGTTATCATTGATAGTACTTATGCATATTTACGTCCATCATTTTCCGTGCATAAAGACCGACATCTTTTGAAACCAACACTTGTTGTAGCACCTGATGGGTGCATTTTGGCAATATTTGGTCCCTACTTTTCTGATTGCGCAAACAACGACGCTGAAATCTTACTAAATGAACTTCGAAAAGATGGAAATTCGTTAAGACACTGGTTTCATGATGGTGATATAGCTTTGGTTGATAGAAGACACCGAGATGCATGTCCATTTCTGCAACAGTTGGGTATCGATCATTGAATGCCTGCATTACTTGTGCCTGGAAGAAAACAATTATCCACAGAAGAAGCGAATAATTCACTTCTCATAACAAAAGGTGGATGGACAGTTGAAAGCAGAAATGGGCATTTCCGATCTATTTTTAAAATGTTCGGTAATCCATTTAATATTTATTTATTTTTATGTATTTATAACTTCTTCAAAGCAGTCTATAATAAAATTAATGCCGAACTTAGTGTCGTCAATTAGGAATTATTGTTTGATAAGACTGCTACTGATAGAGCTATTTAAATTTTTTATGAGGTCCTAAATAATACGATAGAGATGTTATCGTAAAGTTAAATAAAACACTCTTCGAGTTTCAGCACTGACTGGGGTATATATATTTTTGTATTTTACTTTATACATACAAGTAATGTTTACACACATATATATCCGGTGGCGCTGGCAGAGCACAGCGGGAACTTTCAAATTTGATATATATATTTAACAAGAGAAGTATGTTCCTTTAGTTGACCATAAAAGTAAAAATTTCTCATCTGGTTTTCTACTAACACAAGGAAACTGTTAAGGAAGAAAAGTATTTTCCATTATAGGTGGAAAAAATATAATAGAGTTGCTGATTATAATTTGTTTGTAAGTTACAGAAGTCAGTCTAAAAAACAAATACACATTGATTACAAAAAATTTATTGCTGATACAGAAAATAATATTATTAGTAACTCAAAAAGATTTTGGTCATATATTTCGCATATCAGAAGTACAAATAGTATTCCTTGCAACATGAATTATAAGAACAAAGTTTTTAGTAATTATCCAGATGTTGCTAAAGCTTTTGGCGAATTTTTTGCTTCTGTTTATGAGCTATCTAATAAGCCAGTAATTACTAATGACCCTGTATTTTTTAACAATGCTATTAATATTACCTCTATCGACATTAATGACATAACAGATAAGATTAATAATTTAGATATTAATAAGGGTGCTGGGTGTGACAATATTCCTCCAATTTGTATCAAATCGTGTTGTAATCATATTAAGTTACGACTTTTTTAATATTTAATAAATCTATTACTGAATGTTGTTTCCCTGAAAAGTGGAAGATTGCTAAAGTTACACCTATTTTTAAAACGCAGTAAATATCATGTAAATAATTACAGATCAATTTCTATTTTATGCACTTTTAGCAAAATCTTGGAATCAATTATTACGGATAAATTAATTTTTCAAATAAAATATTTATTAAACGAAAACCAGCATGGATTTTTTAGTCGTAGATCTACTGTGACTAACCTTGCTCCTTTTGTACAGTTCATCTCTGATAGTATGGATCAAAATGTTCAGGTGGATGCTGTATACATAGACTTTTCGAAAGCTTTTGACAAGGTTCACCATGATATACTTTTTAATAAGCTTCGATGTGTTGGTGTGTTTGGCAACCTTCTGGCATGGATTAAATTGTATTTAACCAATCGTTCCCAGTACGTTGTGATTATGAATTGTAGCTCTGATATTAGCAAAGTTCCGTCGGGTGTTCCTCAAGGTAGTCATATGGGTCCTTTACTGTTTTCTATATATATATAAATATATCTAACTGCTTTAAGCATTGTCATTTCTCGATGTATGCTTATGACCTTAAGATGTTCAAACAAATTTCAAGTGATACTAATGTTGAATTTCAGGAAGATATTCATAGATTGTATCATTTTTGTAAGTATAATTACTTATTTATTAATGATAAGAAATGCAGTCATATATCTTTCACTAGAAATAGACATACTTTTCAGAGTCACTTTATTATTGGTTCTAATATTGTTGTAAAAGCCTGTAGTATTAAGGATCTTTGAGTCATCTTGGATGATAAGTTGGTATTTGATGCTCATATAACGAGCGTTCAAATAAAAACGTGGTCAAGTTGGTTCTGAAAATTTGGACGTAGGGCGTAGCGTATAGCAAATGAACTTAAACGTCATCTGTCAAAGCGCTATATCGCCGCTATCAATTTGAATATTTTCGTTTTAAAAAGCGTTTAAAATGGTGTTTTCTCAAGAACAAAAAGTGTTTATCATAGAGTCCTACTTTAGAAATGGACGCAAGATTGATGGAATATGGAAGTATTCTATTGAGGAATGTTTCATAGAATTTCAAAATCAATTTCCCGGCGTTGTTGAGTACAAAATTTGTCAAAGTGCAGTTCAGCGTTGTGTTGAGCTTGTTCAAATCAAATTTATTAACAATGTTAATTATAGCGAAATTATCGCGAATTGTTACACGTTCCATATAAGAACTCTCTTAATGTACATAAATTGCTCAGTTTAGAAGAGCGTAGACAATTTTTTGATAGTGTTTTGTTATATAAAATTGTTTATGGGTACTTTGATACTGATATTTTGTCTCTGATAAAATGCAAACTTTAATGTGAGCTAAAATGTATAAAATTCTATGACTTAGGTTAATCAGATAATGATTTTGTAAAAATGATTAATTAAATAAGTACCTAAAATGACTTAAATACTACTACACAATATATGAACATTACTTAACAAACTTAATTATTAACAAATGAGTGGGTATTATTTAGTTATCAATTACACGGTAGAGAAATAATCTTCGTGCAGGCGTTATATGCCAGATAAGTATTTGTCTTACATTAGTGTATAAGCAACTTAAAATGAGCATAAAAAAATAAACAATGTATTAAATCCCCAGATAACAGCTGTTATGCGATTTACAAAATTACTATTTATCTGTTATACATAGTATAATTTTCTTGACATCAAAAGCCAAAGTGGCATATGTTAATTACCATCTAAGACCAATAAATATTATTATAATTAGGTAAATAAGTTGTTCATATATTTGTTCTCTAATAAATATTTGTAAGAAATAGATTGTTACAAAAAAATTTGTAGAACTCGCAGCAGAGAAAATCAAAATTTTCAAGGCAAAATGGTCGACGATAACAGCTGTCCACTACTTCTTTGGGGTTTGCAGAAGACAGCAAAATGTTATAACGAATGTAAAAGTACTCACAGCCTCAGGATCACGTAATCAAGACAGCTCGGCAAGTGCCTTCGGCTTACGTAAAATACAGCGGCTACAAGGCTACTCTTTCTAAGGTATCGGGTCAGGTAAGTATAGGACAGGCAAAAGACTTCGTTATCCATGTGACATAATTTTCTTCTTTAATTTTTCAGGCTCATTTATTGTTCAACATCAACAGGAACAGCAATGGCATTAGCTACGGTATCAGGGAGGAATTTCGAGAAACGCCTATGTACAAAGTTGGATAGAAACTTTAGTCAACAGTTTCGTACGTATATCTTAAGATTCCTAAGACCTACAAAAACCAAATCGTCTAAGCAAAACGTGCCAAATACAATTGCGGGTAACAAATAATTATCAAATTATGCATTTTTGAAATAATGAAACACTCACCCTAGATTTTCTGAGGCCTTAACACGACACAATCTAATATGTGTAATATTCGTCGGAAAGCCCGCACATTAATCGCTGTCTATCTCCCGCATATGTTTGCCAAACTCACGCAAAAAGCCTTAACATTTTGTATTCTATCCAGCCAACGTTCTACATGCCTTCCATTTTTAACAATAATATTTTTTAAATAAATAACAACTAGATACTCTGCATTACTAAAATTATGCACAAAGAACTAAAAGACGATTACTGTTTTAAATTATCTAAAGTAATATTTGTTTACTATCACTAGATATCTCATCTTTGCCTTTTTCAGGAATTTAAGGAGTCTAAAGGAGATTACGGAAATATAAGAAGCCATGAATTAATACTTATAAATATTTGCCCATATTTTTACATGATGTACGTTTATTTTTCTGTATGCAAAAATTGTCAACTAGATAAAATCTATTTAGATATGCAAGATCGTTTCATAGAATTCCAATTTTAATAGCCAATCTATGTCAACTAGTTGATATCTTTTAATATTTCTTTGAACAGGTATAAAACCTCTGTGAAGAATTTATAACCTATAATTTCTTATAGGTAATTTATTTGCCTTTTTTTGTATTCTCACATTAGGTTAGGGTATGTTTATATTGTACTTCATCACCTTGTTTTTTGTTATTTGTTCAGTGTTACCCTGTTATTGGGATTTTTAATCCTGTTGAGTTTCCTACTTCTTAAATAAATAAATAAATAAATATTGTTTTAGTACTTTTTTTACTATACTATGCAGGTAGTGAAATCTAAAGCATTGTAGCTTCGCAAGCTGCAACTTTGAACCATGAATTTTTAGGGCTTGACGCCAATAGACACTCTTAATCTACCAGTCAAAAGCTACAAAAACCCCCTGGTTTCATTTTTTTTTCAAATCATTTGACTGAAAACCAATTTACATAAGGTTCCGGCGGGGTCCTTTTCAGATTTCAGTTCTGACTAATTTTTGAGATAATCTTACTGGACCCTCTTCGTGATACACCCTGTAGAACTGATTATGTAAACGTGTTTTACATTTTTTAGCGAAACAGTTCTTATGTGCAAACTGTTTTTCTCTGTTAAAAAAAAAACGATAAATATTTTGTCAGAAATTAACTTTAATATCTTTTTATTGCAGAACATCAGTGCCACGAGAGATCCTGTTATATGTAGAGCTTGCTTTGATTCACTTCATACTCACAGCAGTTTTTTAAGGAACTGCCTCGACACATGGGAAAAATATAATTATGTTGATGAACCGTTTTACGTTAAAATTGAAGAAATTGAAATAAAACTGGAAGATAATGGTCGTGATCCACAGGAGAAATATGGATGTGATGACAACCAGTCTAAAGAGATTGAAATAAAACTGAAAGATGATGAGAAAGGGTAAGGAAATATCGATAAATTTTATAATTTATTGTACTTTTCTTCTGCCTTGAAAGCGAGGGATTTCCTAAACAGGGATTTAGAAAATTTAAAATTTGAAAGATTTAAACCTATTTTACTAGGACTGTGAATTAATTTTGAGGGTGGAAACTGCTGTGTGATCAACATTCAACGATTCAGCAAGTTCATCTTGCATTTAACATAAATCTTGGTCGAGTAATGCTTCCAGTTCCTCGTCTTCGAACTTTTTCGGTTGACCAGGACGTTCTTTGTTAACTGTATCGAAACCATCACTTCTGAAACATCGAAACCAACACTCACACGTTTTTATTAATGGAGTATGTTCACCGTAAGTTTCCAATGGCTCTCGATGACTTTCAGCAGTACTTTTATTTAAATTAAACGGGAAAAGTAAAATCTCTCGCCCATGGTGTTTTGTTGGTTCGTAATTTTACATCTTCGGAGCTGACAAAAACTATGTTGTTTACACTTCAGCAAAATTACATAATAAAAAGTAAAGCCTAACGACAGAGCTTTGACACGAATATAGTTACAGAAGTGTCCGATGCGATATAGTATGTTATTGCATCTATTGTAAATCCCTCAAAATTAATACACAGTCCTAGTAGCTTTTTATCGATATTTAAAGTGCTTATTTTGATTTGTGTTCATTTCAGTTTGAAGAGTTTTTATTTTTTCAGTGGTTCATCTCCAGACGACTTAGGAAATGAAACAATTGAATACAAAAAGATGCACCATTCTCAAGATATAGAACAAATAAAGGGCAAATATATACATAAATGTGAGATAGGATCAAAAGAACATCGTAATGTTCCAATACCCAAAAGAAAAACGTCTCGATTTACAATGTGTGAACGATTCTATCGATGTGATAAATGTAAATATAAATCTAGGTTCAAAACTAATCTGAAAAGGCATCAGTTAGTACATGGAAAACCGTCAGAATGTAGTTTTAAAACTAAGTATAAGAATGGCCTCGAAAAACACAAGTTGTTACATAACAACCCTTCAGAAATGCAAATGTACAAATGTGACACATGCAGTTTTGAAACCAAACACAAGCGTAATCTAAAACGTCATCAGTTAAAGCACAAAGACCCTTCCGAAATCCAAATATACAAATGTGACAGATGCAGTTTTGAAACCAAACACAAGGGTAATCTAAAACGTCATCAGATAAAGCACAAAGACCCTCCGAAAATCCAAATGTACAAATGTGACACGTGCAGTTATGAAACCAAACGCAAGGATCATCTAAAACTTCATCAGTTAAGACACAAAAATCCTTCGGAAATCCATATGTACGAATGTGACACATGCAGTTTTAGAACCAAACGCAAGGATGATCTAAAACGTCATCAGTTAAGGCACAAAAACCCTTCAGATACACAAATGTGATGCGTAATGTACACATATCAAACTAATTATAGGAGTAGCATAAGGCAACATCAATTAAGACAAAGATTTTACAAAAATCTAAACGTACAAACGCGACTATTGAACTTACAAAATCAAATGTAAGAACAGTTTCAATCATCAGTTAAGGCACAAAGACCCTTCGGAAATCCAAATGTACAAAATCTGATAAAAGTAAGATATATTTAAACAAGCATAGGTTAAAACACAAAGACTCTTCGTAAGTACAAATGTACAACTGTGATACTTGTAGTTATTAAACCAAAGTAAGATATATTTAAACAAGCATCCCTTAATACACAATAACTCTTTAGGAGTCTAAATATACAAGTGTGCATCATGCAGTTATCAGGCTAAATGGACGAGTTATTTGAAGAGACATTTCTTAATCCACAAACATTCGAGAAATCCAAATGTACAAATGTGATTCTTGTACCTGAGACTAAACATAAGCCATTAAGATATTTTAATAAACCTTAACAAAGGTTCAAAATTTCAATGCAAATATGACCGGTATATTTTGTGGAAAAATTGCACTCATGTTCTGCATTGCTTTTAGAAGATAAGTTATAAATTTGTTTGTTGTCTGCCTTAATACATATATTAAAGAAAATAAAACAGGACTGTTTCGATTAAATTATTATTTTAGGTATTAATACAAAGTTGTATAAAATTATACAATAACATAAACAAAATAGTCTGAAGTCAATGTTTTCTCTACAACTATAAATTTATTATGAAGTGAATAGCCAAATGATCCTCACTACCTTAATAATTCTGAAGAGTAAGCTGTTTACAACATTAAAGCACAAAAAAGTTTCTATAACGATGTGTCCCAAAACGCTTTTTTTAGATATAACAGGGTTTAAAGGTTTGAGTAAAAAATATTTCTTCTAATTGATTTAAAAATACACTTCTGCACGGCACTGGAAACTGGTCCACTGTAAAACCTGACCTCGCACAATTCGACCGGCATGGCGGTGTGATAAAAACGGACAAAAACTTTCGCAAGGAAAGAAATGAATAGAATTTTATAACACCTATTTTATATCGACAAATTCAAATGCTTTTGCCTTTATTAATTATTAATAAAATTAATTTGTGTTTTTAAATAATAAAATCATTTGACATACCCCATGTTACAACAACAATTGTTCAAAATTTTATCCACTAACGTGTAAACACATTTGGGTCCGTCTTACTCACTTTCTACGAACTAACACAAATGATGTTTTGCTTCACCATAACACAAATGCTTCACCACAATACAAATGTTGTCTTGCTTCACCATAAATTAAAACGATATCCATCAACTCTGAGTTGCTATACACACAAACAATTTTTGACACTAACTACTAAAAAACTGTTGTATACAACACAAATAACAGGTAAAAACTACCGCAACGACAGATTTCAGTATTAGGAGTCACATGGCTCTCCACACGTATTGCGAATGACGCTAGAGACTACAGTTGTCCAGCTATTTAGTGGTTAAATGTACAATAACTTCAATAATTATTTTCTCGGAAACTATAAGGATTTTACAAAAATTTTTTCTACGTTATTAACTTCATTTCTCATGCCACATCTATTCCCAAATTTTGTTGGATAAGTTGTGAATCACCCTGTATAACCTCGGATTCACTTCATCTGTGATTGGTTTAATTGTAAAACAGTATATTACGAACCCTAACAACTAAATCTTCGGAATAATTGCAAACTTAGAATAAATATATTTTACATTTTGCTGACGCACAGTAATATTTTGCTTAATTTGCTAAATGTTCCGATGGAACACTTTTTGCCTCAGAAATCAAGCATGTGCTGAAAATAAAAATCGGGAAACAATGATATTAAAGTCTTCAGCTGGTTATCAGGCAGCTCCAATCTAAATGTCATTGAAACATAATGACACCATATGAAAAAGTCCTTCTTGAACAACCTGCAAAGGACAATTCCTAATTTAAAAAGAAAAAACCTGATAATTTGGGAATTTTTCTCTCTGAAGTTTTGTAAATCCCTAGACGACTCTACGCCAAAGAGTATCCGTGCTGCTAAAAATGGCAAAGGAGATGTTACAAGTTAATACGACAAGCAAACCCTTTGTTTAAAAATAATAATAATAATAATAAAATGTCTTTATTTTCATTGCTCAAACAAAAAATTTGCACAGTATAATCAAAAATTATATACAGGTAAAGAAAACCACAAAGGGAAGTTCACAAAATTGTGCTCTACCACTTAACCCTTGTTCTAACCTAGAGAAAAACAGTGTATATATCTGGTAGATAAGATAGAAGCAAAACAATTTTACATATTCAAACATAAAAAATATTATACAAACAATATAACAATATAATGCCGTCAAACATAAGCAACGCTATACATTCAAATCAGTATCACTACTGACCCGGAAATAGAACATCTCTTAAACATGGACGAAGAATACATTTTGAGTTCGGTAGGTACGAAATTGTGCAATCGATAGACATCAAACATGAAGCATCTCTCAAAAAGAGCAGTAGTATGAATAGGAGGAGAGATGCAACCCTTATTTCTTATATTAATATGATGTACATCACATCTGGATTCAATTTTCTCCGATTTTTCATATTCAACCATTTAATATCAGACAGTTTGTGAGAAATATTCTGAAACTTTCCAATACCAAAAATGAAACGCAAGCATGCATTCTATACCCTTTGAACGCGATTAGAAAGATCCACATCCAAAGAAGGTCCATAATGGGGAACAGTAATTAAATTGTGGAAGAACCAAACTCTCACACAACATCTTTTTGGTGGCAACATTTAAATATCCTCTATGAGGATACAAACATCTTAAAGCTCCATATGCTCTCTGTATATATTTAGAAACTTGTTGACGGTACCTGAGAGTGCTGTTTAAAATAACACCTAAATTTTTAGCCGTTTCTGAAGCTGTTATTTGTTGCCCACCTATTTCTAGATTAGATTAGAAGTATCCCTAAATGTGTTTCTCATATTTCTATTACCAAAAATTTGCATAGCAGATTTTGTAGGATTCAGCAACATATTTTGCTGCTCCGATATTGTACATAAAATCTTTAGATCCCCGTTTAGACGATTTTTGGCTAATTCGTAATCATTTTTAGGAAAAGAATAATAAATTTGTGTGTCATCTGCATACATGTGAATTTTAGAATATTTTAAAAAAATAGGAAAAGAAGCTGTATACAAACTGAATAGTAAGGGTCCCAGAATGGAACCATGTGGTGCCCCACAGTACAGTTGTCTTCGCTGAGAAACGGCACTTCCTAGCTTAACAACCTGACTACGTCCAGTTAAATAGCTTTCGAACAGTTGCAGACTTCCATCGTCCAGTCCAATTGACTTCAGCAAGACCAACAACACTGCATGATTAACCGTGTCAAAGGCCTTGCTGAAGTCACGAAGCACCAATACCGTCATCAAATCTACATCTGTGGCTCTAATTATGTCATCTGTAATATTCAGTAGCGCTGTGGTACAGCTAAACCCTGGGCGAAAACCCGATTGCTCAAGCGGCAAAATATCATTAATATCAATGAAGCTACGAAGTTGTTTCTCCATGACTTTTTCGACAATTTTTGATTAGCAAGACAATATACTTATAGGTCTAAGATCCTTCCATTCACTAGGATTATTTACTTTTGGCAAGAGTATGACAAACGCCTCTTTCCATAAAGAGGGAAATTGCGATTCTAGAAATACGGAGTTAACAATATTAACAATAACCGGCAAAATATAGGGGCAACATATTTTAATAAAATTTATACCAAAACCATCACCACCAACTGCATTAGACCTAATCTGACCGATAATTGAACGTATGTCAGTTTCATTGACAAGCTTAAAAGAAAATCTAGGATGAGTCCTCACTTTACTTAAATAGTAATTAACTATATCATTGTCAGTAAGCTGCATGTTAGGTATACTATCAATAAAATAATTATTAATACTATCTGCATTATTGCATGAGATGGAAGAGAAACATTTTTTTGATGTTTGACGTTTAACAACTTCAATTTTTTCCATAAATCCTTGGCAGAATAATTATTAGATATATGATCAAAATATGCTTTCTTTTCATTGGTGAAAGAATGATTTGTGTAATTACGTAGGTCTTTATAATAATGCCAATCAGTCGGTAGTTTGGTTCTTTTAAATTTAGCCTTAGCTTTGTCCCGTAAATTCATGAGTAATTTTATATTATCAGTTAGCCATGGACAACATTTTCTTGTGATGCGGACCATTCTTAATGGGAAATGCTTGTCATATAACATTTTTTATTTAGATAGTTTATTTTATCATTAATATGGCTGATGTGAAATAGATTTTCTAAAATTAAATTAGTTAAATCATTATTAAAAGCAATTTCGTTATAATTATTCCAACTTCTAAACGTATACAAAAGTGGTTCAATTTTAGAGGGAGCCAAGTTAACAAGAAAACTAATCATATCATGGTTTGACAAGTTTAACCCACCTACATCAGCAATAGTACATTTAATGTCCGAGGTCAGAATTATATATATACATAAGTTTACTATATCTACTTGTTACCACATTTGTCTAATTCTCATTGCAGTTCAACTGTTTTTCTTCTTTAATAAGTACGAATCAAAACAATAAGATCAAGATTAGGTACATTAAAACACAACACTCTTTCACTGTCTGTGAAGGGAGTAATTTTTTCTCGAGATTCTATTCATCCAATCAGCGATCGTGTAGACGTAACGGTTTGTCAATGTTCATTGTAAACGAACCATTAATATTGGTGACGCCAAGATTTAGGGAATTTTCGGTACCAGTATCATCCCTTTTGAAAGGTTCTTTAATAGTCTATAAACTGAAACAAAATTATTACCACTATTTTCTTACAGATAAAGGCCGTTAGAATTTATATTTTTTTTTTTCATATGTGTAGTTTGTCACTAATAAGATTATCAATTTTGAGAAAAATTGCACAAGTTACAAATATTTATGACAAACTACTGATTGTCCCTACATATTATGTTCATAGTTTCCAGACGTGTATAATACAGAGCTGTCATAAATATTTACAAACCATGTGACTGCTGAGCTTAGGCAGTCCAACATTGCACAGTTGATACTGTCTACCAGAAATCCCTAAATCTTAGCGTCACCAGCTGGTGAAATAGAACGTTGTATTTTAATGAAATCCTGTATACGTAATGTAATGTTATATGGCCTGTAATGTATGATGGCTTTGTAGGTATAGGTATGTAAAGGATGATTCACTATTTAACTTTTCTGTTTTAAAAAGTTAAAAAAAAATGTGAAATACAAAAGTTGCACGATTTTTTATGAAGTTTTCGAAAATGATAGTAGAAAAACAAATGAAGTCCAAACAAAATGGCCACGGATGTTAACTTTGTTAATTTAAATGGAACACCCTATACAGGGTATCCCACCACGAACTCCATGGATGGATATCTGGGAAACCGCTCGCTCAAAGGATTTTTTTGAAATTGTGATGGTGTGATATGGACCATGGGACCTACCAAGTTAAAATATTTTCAAGGTCATCGTACTTCCGGTTATACTGGAAGTCGATAGTAACTTTCTTATTTGACTATACCA